CAACACAAGCTGTCTGGCTTGAGAACTTAAGAAATTTAAGCCTAATTAGAATTGGCTCCCTTCATACACATTGCGCGTGCATTGTTTTCGATTTTCTGAAGCGTTACTAAAGCCCGGCGCACGTAAAATACTCAAGTAAAATGACGCATGAGTCAGTTTACTCACGTGTGCGGCGGATTTTCGTTGAGTAATTTGACTCGTGCGTCATTTTACTTGTGCGCCGGGCTTAAGCCATAGATACCGTATGAACAGTTAACGCAGAAGATAGCTATCTCTTATTAGATGGTTATTTAGAAGTACGACGTATGCCAACTTTTTGGTTTAGCTATAAATTGGAGAATCGTGTACACACAAGATTTCTTCTTGATCCTTCTATTTTTCTTATATGCATTCACAGTTGTCCATGTATACCAATTTCAGTTCATGCTCATTTTTGCTAGAGATATTAGTTTAATTGCTACATATACAATGAAACTCCCTGATGCAATCAAAAATACATCTATAAACCATTACGTCTTGGCCAGCAACTCATTGCGGAAATATACATGTGTGTATATATACACATAATAGCAGGCACACATGCAAGCAATGCCTGTAGTCATAGACGGAAGCGCATATATTTCCGCAATGAGTTGCTGGCCAAGACGTAATGGTTTATAAATGTATTTTTGATTGCATCAGGGAGTTTCATTGTGAGAATTTCATTGCAAAAATGAGCATGAACTGAAATTGGTATATGTGTTATTGGTGATATTGTTGATTGATTGATTGAAATTGGTGATTGATTGATTGACTGAAATTGGTGATATTGTTATATGTGTCATATGTGCTATATATGTGTTTAGAGAATACGCACGTGTATATACGAGTCATCTTGCGCGCATATAGATGAGCTTGACAGCGTGCCTGTCCGTTTCACTGAGCTGCATGTGAGAACATAACATACAGCAACCTTCACAGAGTTAATACATGATCATAAAACATGATAATATTGAATGCTATGTATAATAGTATATACAAAGTAAGATTAAATTAAATCTATGCTATTATTAACCGATTATCCGATTATAATCGATTATCGATCGGTTAAGGGAAACCGATAATCGATTATGAAATTCCAGCCGATTCCCATCACTACCTAATTGTATAAAATGTCTGCTGTTAAGGGAAGCTTCATGCACAGGGCTTTGTCGACTCGGTGCTTTTATAAACATGCGATGGCGATTATTTCTGCAGCTATGATGCTCTTCTGGTGGAGAAAGAAGACTTGGAGGTGGCCTACGAAGAGTTGCGGTTGGCAGCACCTCCGAGTTATGCTTCGGTTGGACTTGGCAAAGAGGAGAGGCTGTTGAAGGAGATGATCAAGATGCTGGAAGAGGAACTGATGAGAGAGAGGACCAAACATCAGCGGGTGTCGGCTAAGAAAGACGAGGAATGTAGAGAGCTGCAGGCTGAGGTATTCGCTAGAGCTGTGTGAGTAATTACTGCACAGGCTTATGTTCTCGCGATGTCAGGTTGAGTTGCATGTTTTTGCACTTGTGTGTCAGTGTGTGTGTACGTGTGTGTGTACGTGTGTGTGCGTGTGTGCGTGCGTGGGTGAGTGTGTGCGTGGCCCACTCTGGTGTCTGTCTGAGTCGCAGTGTGATTGTGTGTATCTGTGTGTCTGTGCGTGTGGGTGTGCGTGCGCGCATGTGTGTGTGTGTGTGAAATGTTTACGTGCATGCTGATTATACATTTTGATTTGTATGAATACTGAATTTAATATTACATATATACTTCTGTCTATATATAAGCCTATATTCACAATGTTATAGGTTAAGGACTTGCGGGGAAAGGAGCGCTCTCTTCAAATACATGTGAAGAACCTAACGAAAGAACTGGCTGAATATAAAAGAGGGTATGTGACAGATTTTGTCTGTATATAGAATTTCGTGTCGGGGATGTACCTGTGCAGCCTTAAAATGCTAGGTCACTTTTTTCAAACAGGAAATTACAGCTGCCTTAATACTGACATCAGATAAACAGAGATGCCAACCACTACGATTTATCCGTATTTTATACGAATTTCTATTGCTTTTGCACCACTACAAATTTCTTTTTGTCAATTACTGTAATTTTTTGTCAATTTATTGTCATTTTTGACCCTCAGAATGCAGGAAATTGCATCTCAGAATCAAACAATTTTCCGGGGGGCATGCCAGACCCCCCCTAACAAACTCGGGTCACGTGACCCTCGAACTACTAATTTGATGGCCAGAAACTACAGATTGCTTCAAATATGTGATGGCATCTCTGGATAAAGTAAATGCAGTACAAAGGATTCACGAAGTAAACTGCCTGTATTCTTGATACAACTGCAGGAGAAGGTTATAGCATACTGTGCTTATGTGTATGTGATCATAACCTGCCCCACTAACTGCAGTTTTTATGCTGTTATGACATATCTCTCCACTGTGAATGTACTAGGATGACATCTACTCTCTCTCTCACAAACTTCAAAATTTATTACTAAATAACTAGAAAATAAATAACGTAATAATTCCAGAATAGTAGAATATATACATAAATTTGTATATTTTATATACGTTGTATTTGTATAGGAGGCTGTTCACACCACGACTAGGTGCCTCCAGCACCACAAGCAATAGTATGAGGCGCTCGGAATCCTATACAGGGCAGCAATCAGTGGCGTGGGCGAGGGAGAGAACATTGTCACGATTGTATCAACAAAGGAAAACGCCGTCCCCAGGTAGTACATCCATTATTCTGGTGACCTTTTGTTTGGCAAGTGAGAAGATGTTGTTGGACCCACTGACTGAACAAGCAGTGCATGCTACCAACTTCCAATTAGTCTTGTCAGGTTCTTAATATAGATGGGTCTCTCCAATCTGATATCTTTAGAATCGGCCATGCTAGTTTTTAGGGAAAATTCCAAAATATATTGGGTCATGCCTGAAAAATTGGATTGACATGAAACTGCAAACATGTAATCAAATAATAGTAGATCACGAAAATCTAAATTACGAAGTCTGAAGTTGACATATTTATCTTCTTAGATTGACTTTTACAACCTTTCAGTACAAAAACTACTCTTTCTTTTAGCACCAAGGTTTGATCCAACTGCCTATGTGAAGAGCAAAGAGAGGCAACTAAAATCATCGACCCAAAGGAGGTAGGTATCGTTTTCATTCAGTAATAGCGCCTTTATATATGACTATAGACTGTCTGAGCTTGCTTACACTATAGGTGAATCTCTGTGGAGAGCCTGTTTGTTTTGTTGCGCTTAATTCCACATAAAAAAGTCATTGTCACGTTATTGGGCTTGCTATGTTTCCACCATTATTTTGTCCATTTCAACTGATACATGCACATGCACTCACCTTGAAGGATTTTTCGTTTGTGTCAACCTTCCCCGGATGATAAATTCAGTGCACCAAACATATGTGTACGCTGTAGATGGCAGAACAAAAAATTCCCACCTTGTGACCCATCTATGAAATGCTGGGGGAAATTTCCTTCACATAGAAGATCGTAAATGTTCCCCCTACTATCCCCCAGAAAGCGCTCTTTGAGCCGAGGCTCGTGCGAGCGGTCAGGATTCCTTCGCGGTGCCTCGCCGTGCGTGGGGTCAGGGGCACGCACTCGGTCGCACCCCATCTCTCGCAGTCCATCACCCGCTTACTCGCAGCGACGTAGTGGTAAGTGTACGTTCGTAAACGTACTTGGTTTCCGTATTAGCAGAACAAATTAATCACTGTAATGGGGGGATAGTAATCTCACTCAGTTACACAGGTAAATTAAGATGGTGTCGTGAATTAATCGAATCGTTAGTTACTAGGTGATATAAGTGGGATTGAGAGGTTATGGAGGATGGAAAATTCTCTTTGTTGGCTGCGTGCTTGGTCACTGAGTTGCACTACTAATTAAATGCTTGGTAATAATTAAATTTAATAAAATTTAATTTAATAAAATTTAATTAGATGCTTGAACGATTGCAGTGGCTTGGAAGAACTCTAATACATCCTCTCACCAAAGAAGGAGCGGGAGTCTAGCGAGTCGGTCTTCATCCTGCGAGTCGTCACGTAACAGGTATGTGACCCATGATGTTTGTAGTGACCCATCTATGCGGTCCAAGTCTGGCCGGCCATCTTTAGATACTGTATTTTTTATGATAACCTGACACAATAGAGTCGCAGTGCAACTGCTGCTTAAACTGTAAATGACTTTCTAAATTTTTGCTATTGGCATCAGTTGGCATTTATCTATTAAAAATAGAATAAAACGGTGTCATTAAACACCTGCATTGACACTGATAGTAAGGAATGTACGTGATCATCGTTAAATTGTTTCTCCGTAAAATCCTCCGTTTCCTGTCTCGTATAGCAGACAAGAGGACAGGCCACGCAGTCGTCAGAATGGTCCAATTCTCAACAGCCCCTCCGTCATTACGCAGGTAGACCAGCGTATAGTATGTAATAGGCCAGGCCATTATTTGACGATTTCTTGTATGCTGTAACCTGCACAATCTATATACTAATCAGCCTTACCTGGAAAATATCGTCATATTTTCCCCCCATTTGTTTTGTTTTTAAATAAGTTACAGTTAATTTGTGCATGATTACATTACAGTTAAGGTGAGGGGACTCATAGATATTGATATATTTTACTGAATCTCGCATGTACATTTTCTATGTTTTTCAGGTGTCGTCCTTAAAAAACCCATATAATGGAAGGAGTAAATCATATCCTTTTGTGTGAATTGCTATGGAATGTCACTAAGTGTTCTCACATCACTGAATTTATAATAACGTGCCGACTGCATGTCCTTGTGTTTAGTGTGATATCACATAGTAGCTTAATAAGAAGACAAACAATAGTAAAAAGTCCTATTAGATGTTACCTAGAATACTGTCGGCAAAATGCCATATATATGACTTCAAGAAGCCTGATAGGAAGGTTCTCACTAGCAATAATTGTGTGCCATCATCGTGAACCTCATTTTTACTGGCAAGGTTTGACTTTTTGTAATCATCACAGTTTATGATGATCAAATTGTCAAATGCATGTCTTTCTCCTTAATGATGTACTATACAGCCACACTCACTCAGGCCAAGAACCTCAAGGTGACAAAACGACCTTCACTCCACACTCCAAGTGCAACTGGAGACAGCAGATCACTGAGACGTTCTAGTGGTGAGGGCAAGCAAATAGATAATATATATATTATATATATATATATATATATATACATATGTCATGCAAATATTAAATGCAGTTGGTATAAATTATGCATTTCTTGTAGGGTAATTATGGTAATTAAAATACAAACGGCTAATTGTAAATTTTGGTAACTGATAGAGGTAGACCAATGAAATATGTTTACGATTTAACCTTGTACTTGTATGATCTAAATGTAACCTTGTCTATATTTTTATACCTAGTCTTCTATATGTAGCCATATATCTATACAAACGTGTTTGTATATACCAGTGATATAACCAAATTGCCAACTAAATGTTCTCTTGATTTGTAGGTAATCCAGTAAGGCGGTCGGCCGACAGAGCTAGGAGTTCATTGGGCATGAACCACTCGGGCAGCTCAACCAGAGGTGTGTTGGGACCTCAGCCAGACATTGCTGAATTGGACGCTAGATTACAGGCCCTGCAGGATTATCTTAGAGATGCAGGGTGCACTGACGGAACAGTGAACTAAATTACACACACTCTCGGTATGTTACACGATAGTTGCTGCCACCATCACAGCAATGTGGTGTGCAATGTGAACATTGTAAGTTCCCGAATAGCGGAGAAAGGTTCGTGTTGAGAATAAACCCAGTTTGGAAGTTCTAGTCTCTGAAAACGCACCAGCAAACCGGCCCGAGTGATTCACTCGGGCATTCCTCCGCAGAAAAGGATAGGGAGACTTTGTAACCCTATCCTCTTGGGTTTGGGTTACATTATTGTATCTAGTACTCTATATGATATCATCGCCTAATATAACTTGCATTTATCTACTATCGTTTTTTTCAAACAGCCTAAGTCAAGTGCCTGTACAGTGTCACACTGTCAGTAGGAGGGTACTATGAGTGACTAGGTGTAAACTTACATTGTGCAACCGGCATACAAACATACTCTCTAAACACTCTGCTAGATTTAGCCCGTCGTTTCAATGCGACTGCAATCGGTTTGCTAAGTTGTTTGAGAGCCAAATAACCTAGTTTGGCTATTGGGAACACCATAGCGAGTATTACACTTGTTATAAATAAATTTGATAAATGAACTAGCTCTGCAGCCCTACATAACTATAAAACCCCTAAAAGTATAAAAATTACAATGAAATCATAAACATGACTTTAGCATGTCGTCTTCGTAGCGAAAGGTATCGGGTACACATTCAAACAACAGTGGCGCCAAAGCCCGTATATGATTCTGACAGCAAATGCATGCTATAATAAATGTATTTTGAACTGCTTATTGAACTTATCATGGATATATACAAACATGTGTTTTTATATATCTATGAGGTTATATAGATTACTTTTTACTGCGAATTATATTGCAAAGCATTACTACGTACATTGTTTGGTAGTATGGATGACGATCATGGGGATGAGAGATAGAGACCTATATAGATATATATATATATATATATATATATATATATATGTGATATATTATATCACATCGTATGGTGAAATAAAATTCTTAAAAGAAAGATGAAAATAGGGAGGAGGAAACGTGAGGAGAGGAGAAGGGGAGGAGGAAATGGGGGTTAGAAATAAAGGATGAGTGCTAGAAGAAGGAGACGGGGTGATGTGGATGAAGTGGAGGAGGATACGAGGAAAGTGAAAGTGGAGAAGATCTAGTTCCTGACTTCCTGTCATCGAAATTTTTAGATGGCCTATATCTGTCGCGTATTCTTTTAGCCTCTTAGCGGCACTCTCTTCACCATCATCAACATATTTTACAGAAACAGTAAACAATTTGATAACTGCTTCCACCATTGGAAGCATAAATTAACCTTAATTTAAAACTAACAGTTTGTTTTTTGTTAAACTCGTTTATGAACATTGTGCGGGTCAGACGACCCCTGCGCGTCATGCCCTAACAGGCCTTGTGCAGTATTCTTATAGACATAGACACCCAGCTAGCTTTCTCCATGGAAGTCAAGAGCACAGACGTTCAAAAAGGGTGCTGCGGTGGTCACATAAAAATATATAGAGCTAGTCCAAAAAGACGTGATACAAAATTGCGTGGCACAGCTTTGCTGTTGATCTTGAGCACTGCACGCGGATGAGACACGCACGCGACAGCGGGGATGTTCAAGTATGAAGCGCTGTCCGCAGTGGAGACGTGCGCCAAATTCGAGGCCCAGAGCACATCTCCACAGCGGTCAGCGGATGGTCTGTAGTTTTAGAAGATAACAATGAAGACTTTGTTCTAAATAAGAACTATTGGTGGCTAAATAAAAACAATATACAGACCTTTGAATTTCTTGACTAGTCAGTCAAAGGGCTTGTTGGGGGTCCATTATGCAGAGCTTCCAATTGAAATGGCTCCTGAAATTGTCAAATGGAATTGTGTTTTTCGGAACCCCAAAGAAAATGTCTCCCTCTTACATGCACCCCCTCCCCTCCCTGATCAATCACGCATTCAGGCGTAAACAATAACAGAGATGAAATTGTGTTGAGTTTGTGGCTCTTGACGCACGTGCATTGACGTACAAGACTGTTGAATGCAGCGCCCACATTTATGTCAAAAGATACAGGTTGACACAATCCATTCCTTATAATAAGGTTGTTAGCTATAGTGAGATGTTTACTTGTATACAACAAGTTCCCGTCATATTGCAATAGCATGCAATATCATCCATGTTAAAGGTATGCTATTGGGTACTTCCATAGAGGTCTTTACTGTTCTTATTCATAGCCAGTATGATACACATTTATGTACACTGAGATGGTCGCTGCCATTCCTACCATAGCGTGGACCTTTCCATTTATCTGTACAGAAATGATGTCTTAACTGTTGCTATATGTGTAACAATTGTGTGATTCACGAGTGGTGAGATAGAGGTCGCCACTATTCCAGTCACAATATTAGTATTTCAGAGTACTTATTATTGAGCTCAGTTATAACATGACGGAAGCTATATTCTGTTACTACGAAACTGATTTATATTTTTATTGATAGTTTATGACGTTGACAGTAGGTTTTATGTTTATTGAGCATTTGTTTATAATATTGCAAGGGAAACCCAGATATAGTAAAATGGTAAAGATTTTTTACAATTCTCATTTAATCAGTCTCAGTATTATTATTGTGATTATTAAATCTTTATTTCATTTAATTCAAACACACCTAAATGTACTGAATGCAGCTATAGTGCTTTTGTTTAAATAGTCGCGTGCATTGTGCAACGGGTAAAAAGTTGACGAACGTGAGATTTGTGAATATATGTGCCAAGTAGAACATTTTCGGTCTGGTGTTAGGATAGGCTGCGCTGCCCTGGCTAGTTTCTCTTACTTTATTTATTTGCAATAGTCGATCGGCTCATTTTCACTGTAACTTCAGCAACTTGTTGAAATCATGCCTCATAATTTTTCTCTCTCTTTTAATTGTCTGTTCTACTGCTTATAATCCAGCTAGTATGTGAAAATTGATCTCGCTGTCATACCCACCCGTGCATAATTCTGGGTTTGGAACTTAGGAACTTACTGCAAAAACGTGGGGCATGACCATCTATGATTCTAGCAGGAGTGGATAATAGAGAATTCTAATAGAGAAGCTCTATTATCCACTCCTGATTCTAGTAATTCTAGTAGAGTGATAAATGCAATTGGTAGTGTGGTGGTTGTGACAACACTTGTAATTATTATGGTCTTACTTCCAACAACTTTTGAGATGTGCCTTATCTTTTGAATTTCATCACTGATGATCGCTTTCTCACCTCCTAAGATGTGCATATAGAATCCTATGATGACAAGCCTCTTCTCCATAATTTGCTGTAAAATATGTAGGACCTTTTCGTATAGTTGTATTGTTCATTATATTTTTTCGTAAAATTTATTGGCAATTTTTATAACGTTGAAATAAATTATTGAAAAATAAGTGAAGATGTTTAAGATTTTCTAAATTTAAGTCATAGGGTTAGTTGTTTTGGACTTATAAGACTTTATCCCCCCCCCTCTCTCTCTCTCCCTACATACCATTATTTACCTACGATGTAGTGGCGTTTTGCAATACACAACGAGTGGCCGTTATGAATCTGCACTATACTTATATGGCACCTGCTACCAAGTAATTATGGATGAGTGATGTATGATCCGTGCTGGTCTATATCCTACCAGCATGATATACCTGCATATAGTGAGCAAGGCTATATCACTATCAGTGAGCCAGCATCAGGGTGATCAGAAACAAGTCGTGCTGTGTGTGTACTGTGGGAACTCGCATAGAGGCATGTATAGGTGCACGTACGTTATCACGTGAGATTATTGTCTATTAGAAACCGTTATAACATTTACACCAATGCTATAGCCATTAGCTATTCGAGATATATGAGTCAAGACGAGATACTATCCTGTGTTAAATCATAATATATTATAGCTACATAGCAACGAGGACTTCAGAGCAGTGTAATAGAAGTGTTAGACAAGTCGACAACTAGAAAAAGTTGGGGGTGCACACCATGACAGTCGATGAAACACTCTTTGAGGAAACTGGCGAAAGTGAGTACATGAATTTCACATTAGCTAGATTATATTGGAATAATTCACCCAAGATCCAATTAACCCTGCAAGTGACAAGTATACGTTGAACAAGTGAGTGAATGACTGACTATCTTTCCTTGCACCCTACCAACACAAGCTGTCTGGCTTGAGAATTTAAGAAAATTTAAGCCTAATTAGAATTTGCTCCCTTCATACACATTGCGCGTGCATTGTTTCGATTTTCTGAAGCGTTAAGGCCTATTTACACGATGCGTCCTACACGGTGCGTTTTGGACGTACGTCTAGGACGCATCGTGTAAATAGGCCTTTACTAAGCCATAGATACCGTCAAGAGTAGATAATAACACATGTGTTATTATCTACTCTTGATACCGTATGAACAGGTAACGCAGAAGATCTCTTATTAGATGGGTATTTAGAAGTATGACGTATGCCAACTTTTTGGTTAGCTATAAATTAGAGAATCGTGTACATACAAGATTTCTTGTTGATCCTTCCATTTTTCTTATATATGCATTCACAGTTGTCCATGCATACCAATTTCAGTTCATGCTCATTTTTGCTCGAGATATTAGTTTACTTGCAAGTTGCTACATATACAATGAAACTCCCTGATGCAATCAAAAATACATCTATAAACCATTACGTCTTGGCCAGCAACTCATTGCGGAAATATATGCGCTTCCGTCTATGACTACAGGCATTGCTTGCATGTGTGCCTGCTATATGTGTTTAGAGAATACGTACGTGTATATACGAGTCATCTTGCAGGCATATATACAGGGTTCATAGTAGTAAGACACATGTTGAAATAAGGACTTATAAGACCAAAATAAGACTTTTTTACGCGATTTTCTTGATTAGATCACCGGTCGATTAAAGTACACTATTGTGAAAATGTTGAAAATGGTCCTTATGCAAGGAAATAAGGACTGATTAAGTCCTGTTCTAAGATTTGCACGCAAGAAATAAGTACTAATAAGGGCCCTGTATGTTTATTTTTGGCAAAAAAATAGTACTGTATAAGACTTTGAAGAGACCCGCTACGCAACGGCCTGATAGATGAGGCTCGACTGCGTGCCTGTCGCGTTTCAACTGAGCTGCATGTGAGAAATTATCGATAAACATGTTATTATACACCAGCTCACTGGTCTGCTTACATAGTATACCTACCTATACACAGCACCCTGATGAGTGTATGGCTTGTCGTTGGGAAATTTATAGTGGTAGAAATAGCAATGTTTCAACATCTTTTAAATTTGTAGAGGGTAAAATGAAAAACAAACATTGTTTCAACATGTTTTGTGTAAGTTTGTTGTTATTACTTTATCATAATAATAAGATCGATAAGTATATATATCATAAAAAGGGTAGGTAAGTTATTATTTCGAGGGGATATACATTTATGAGAAATTTTTCAGCCTTCATGGCAATTGCAGTGCTTTGTTGGGCACTATATTATAACATACTGAACATTTTCAAATAATTCAGCAGAAAATGTTATTACTTGTACACCATCCCGCTTGCAACACTTGTATGAATACATGCGACTTATCAGGTCCAAATGCACCATGATACAAAATATATCTGATATAAACTATCAGGAACTATGCAGGAGAATATAGAACAGTGATAAAAAAATTCAATTTATACATAATTTTACTCTATTTAGTGCTAGATTTATAGTGCAGCTTCAATATAAACACTATTATCTTAAATGGTCATCTTTTCTGGTTTCAGAATAGAGAACATTTTAATGTTCCCATCGTTTTGAGCTCAGCTTGTGGCAATATAGAGGTTGCGCACTTGCGTCTTAACCCATCTAGTATGGACAATGCATATGATTTTTGCTAGTAAAACCCTGACGTAGTGTACAATGATCACTTCATGATTGTTCGAACGCGGTCGCTGCAGTATGGCATGTTTACTTAACTGGAATTCCGATCGTTTTCAAGCTAAGCCAGCTATTTAACTATATATTAGTAAGTGTGAGAGAACTATCGCCTCGTTCACACGACCC